CCGCCCACGCCCCAGGCTCCCCTCCCAGCCTCTCTGCCCTGTTCTCCCGTCTCTGTGCCCCTCTCTCGTGCCTTCTCTGCGGCATCCGCACGCACGCCGCCCTTCACCCCTCTGCGTGTGCTCATCCCTTCATCCCTGCAGCTGCCATCTGTGCCCACGGCAGGCGAGAGTGGAACCAGCCAGCTCAGGGGACCTGCCCCGCTCCTGTCCTGGGACCACCCAGTGTGCTGTGCAAGTGGGAGTTCGACGAGCGCCCACACGTGCCGACTCTGAGAGTCAGTGAGTCCCGGCCCTCGTGTGTGCCGCGGGCGGCCCTCCCGCCTCTCGCTAGGTCCTAACCCGCTCAGCAAGGGGCCAGTCTCACGCCCGATCTGCCCACGCCCCGGGAATGGTGGGTGGCGCACAGGCCTTGTGGACGGGGGTTGTGGGCCCCGGGGTCAGCTGGCCTCTCCCGTTGGCGCCTCAGGCCCGTCAGTGCTTTGGGGCTGACGACACACAGCAGCGTCCAGAGGCTCACGCTGGGCACCGGGGTTTACCGTGATGCTTACGAGGCGGAAGGGATCGCGGTGAGGCCATGACAGGGACGGGTGACCCAGCCCAGTGACCTTAGCACCTTGTCTGGGCTGCCCTGTGCACCAGGCCCTGCCACCCCCTCACCGAGACACCGTGTGGCCTCTGCAGGAACAGCTCCGGGAAGGCCCAGCCAGCACCGTCCAACAGCCCGCAGCCCGGGACACGCTCCCCAGAGCTGACAGGCCCGCCGTGTGTCACATGTCCTCACAGCCGGCTGCCCTGGTTTGGGAGACATTTCACAGAGGACGGGGGCCCAGCACCTGGCCCTGGGGGCTGTGGGCTCCGGGGGGCGAGCTGCTTGTCTCTGTGTCTACTAAGTGCTCCAGAAGCAGCAAGAGCAGAACGTGAGCCCTCAAGGCTCCTGGGAAGCAGTGGCCTGGTTTTGACCCCAGGACCCGGGGAGGGGGCAGGGGGGCACTGGTCCAAACTCATTCTTGGGCTGGAGCAGGAGGGACCTCCGAGCCTATCCTCTGCCGGCACTGGGAAGGCCACCTGCTCCCACCCACACGGCCCTCCTGCCCCCTGGGCCAGCGCTGGAGCCTCGTCCCCACGAGAGGCCGGGACCTCACGTCCCCTGCGAACCCCCACCCAAGCACCCTGCAGCATGAGCCCAGGACGCAGCAAGTCACAGGCCTGGGGGACAGACGGACAGGGAGCAGATGCAGCGAGTGAGCGCAGGGAGCTTCAAGCTCACCCCCCACCCACCCAGACGCCCCTGCCCAGATGTCTGAGTGGAGGGTGTACACAGGGCGCGCCTGAGACCGCGGCCTCGCTGCATTACCAGAACAGCTGCCCTGGGCCACGTCACGCTGTTCTGAGTTGTTGTTTTTAAAACCCAACAGCAAACCACGGCCATTCCAGCCGCTCTCGCGAGCTCGGGTTGGGGGAGGACGTGGGGTCCAGTCTTCCTCGCGGACTGGCCGCACAGCCGCAGGGACGGTCCCGGAGAAGAGACACAGATGGCGGGACTCGGGAGGGATGACGGCAGCCTTTCCAGAAGCTCCTCCTGGTTGTGTCTTTATCTTCCCCATGGCAACGGCTCTCGTTGTCCCGAGCCAGTCAGCACAGGCTGCCTCCCGCACGGCTCACGGAGCCCATGTGTCTGCTGTTTATCAGGACCTTTTGTTCCGGACTCTCAATCCGGAACACCGCGCTCCTGCGTGCAGAACACTCGTCCCAACCCAACGCCGAACACGGGCTTTAATGAGGAGCGGAGACCATGGTCGCTGGACTCGCAGGGCCTGGGGAGTTTTGTTTTGTTTTTTAAACGATGCTTTGCAGCGGTCAGATACTGCAAGCAGCCCGCCTGTCCCCGCGGAGAACACGTGCTTTCCGGGGTGGGTGGGATGACCCATTGGGACTGGACCCCGATGCACCCCCAGCACCGCTGCAGGGTCGGCGAGAACCTCCTGGGGCCGACGGGGCTCAGGAATTACCTGCTCGGGACCCTTCCCCAGGGAGACAGGTTGTGGCTGGAGGGACCCCACCTGCTGCCCGGGGGCCGCGTACAGGTGACGAGGGGTCTCCCAGTGAGGGCGTGTTCTCAGGAGGTGGGGTGTTCACAAGGACTGTCCAAAAGCCTGAGATGGCCCTCGTGGTGGTCCCTCCAAGCCAAGGGCCATGGGCCAAGCTCATCCCTGAGCTGGTGGCAGCCCCTCATGTGGGGGTGACTCACTTTGTTGTCACTTTGTTGTCACTCTGTTGTCACGGGAACTCACTTTGTCTCTCCGGGTGAGGGGCACCTTCCAGGATGCGACAGAGCAGGTTTTCCTGAGGAAGGGGGCCGGAGGCCAGTGAACCCGGCCAGCGACATTCCTCCCCGGGCAGAGGCCCACACACCATCTGTTTCCGTGGAGCCGTGACGGCTGGCACAGGCCCTGAGATGGGCCGCCACCGAAGCTTCCTGAGCCACGGACGCGTCTGGCTTTCCCGGGGCCGGAAGGGCTATGCTGGCTTCTGCCCACGTCGGTGGGGACCCCGCTGGAGGCCTCACCGGACCCTGATGCCACAGCCCCAACTGCAAGTGCAAGTCCCTGTCACAGGCCTAGGGAGGGGCCGTGGGCTGGGCCAGGACAGTGGGCGTCAGGCTGCGGGTCCCCTCCTGGGGTCAGGCAGAGGCTGGGGCAGCAGGGCCCAGACTCTGTCCCCTGCAGGGCACCCTCTCTGTGCTGTGCTCCCACCCCGGGCCTCGAGGCAGGAGGAAGGGGACAGGCAGGCACTGAGGATGGAAGCCAGGTCTGCGTCCACGTCTGTCCAATGTGCTGGGCTCCGGGCTCCTCCGTCCGGTCCAGGTCGGCCTTGGTGGGGACGCCCGGTGCTCACTGAGGACACCTCTGCTCTGCCGCGCTTGGTGTCTGTGCCCCTGTCTGCCCAGTGGCAGGGACCATGAGGCCGGCATGTGTGTAGGAAGATGGGGAGCACCAGGGTGGGGCAGGGGTCCTCTGGGACAGGGAAAGGACCCCCCCACCCCCACTGGTCAGGCCGCTGAGTAACCGGCTGGTCCACTGAAGTCGGCACAGATATGCGTGGACTCAGGACAGGCGTTAAGAGTGCGAACTGCGGGAGTGGGGACTGTGGAGCTGCAAAGCTTACAGGTGGGGGGCTGGGGGCAGACAGCACCCTGGTCCTGGGCTCGCGCCCCTGGGCTGAGCTCCGGCAGCAAGGCCAGTGTCGTTCCTCACACACAGCTTTGCTCCGAGGCTGTAAACCTCAGAACCCTTCCGACCTCGGCCCACCAGTCAGGAGAGGAGGGGACCCCTTGCCGCCTGGGTCCCATCTCACAGGGGACACGAGGCCCAGCTTCAGAGGGGTCAGCCTGGCTCACGGGCCCGCAGGTTTGTGTGAGACTGGGAGAGGATGCCTCACTGGGTGCAAGTCAGATGTGGCCTCCCCCTTGGGTGGGACCTGCCGCCCGTCATCCCAAGTTCTCAACCTTCCAGGACCCCTTCCCCTGCAGATTCTCCTCCAGCCCCTGCTAGACGGGCGTGTTGTGTCCTGGCACAGGGTCCCAGGCTTGCCCCTCTGCCTGGAGCTCCATGTCCTTTCACTTCGAGTCTCCTGGGTTCCTAGTCAGAGCTATTTTCGTAATTAAAATATCTGCACTGGGAAATGCCGGAGGCCAGTGGCTGTGTTACCTGAAATCCACAGTTAGTGGCCAAGCATGTGGCAGGAGCCTCCGGGAGGAGGCGCCCACCCGGGTGATGGTGGCCGTGTCGTCCTGTCCCCACACAGCAGAGGGCGGCTGCCCGCAGAGCCCGGTTCCCAACACCGCTGTCCGCCCTCCAATCCATGGGTTCCAGGCCCCATTCCCGCTGCCCCACCAGGGTCCCCGGTGGCCAGGCATCCATCTACCGTTGTCCTTGAGGCCGTGCCCCTGGGACACCCTGTCCCTCCAGCTGCCTGGCCCCAGGGACGGTGGGCAGGCCCCAGGCCCATGGCTGCTGTGGACGCCCTACTCCCATCCATGCCCGGGACCCGGGCTCCGATGTCCGGGGAGGAGCAGGGTCACTAAGCTCCAGAAGGCCGGCCGGGCCCAGCACTGACCACCCCAAGCCCCGAGGAGGAGTGTCACGCCTCCCGGTCTCCACGGCAAGGAAGCCTGATTCCTGTCTTATCTCGAGGACATGGGGGCTGGGGAGAGGGGTGCCCCCGGGCCCTGCGGCAGCACCCCAGCTCACTGGTCCACAGGGGGCAGCTGACCTCCCAGAGCGTGACCCTGCCGTGGAGCCGGCTCTGCGTGCTGATGGACGTGGGGCCTCATGGAGGAGGCATCCTCGCAGCGCGTGAACACGGGCCTCCCTCCCCGTAGGCACGCCCAGTGTCACCCCGCGGCCGCCGGGACCTCCCAGTTTGGGAAGCGCTCCTGCGGCCCCGATCCCAGGGTGGGGCGGGGGGGCTGCTGCTGACATCCGCAGAATGAATGAATGAACGAGTGACCGTGCAGGTGCGGACCTGCAGGGGTCCGGGCGCCCGCAGGGGTGGGGGTGAGGGGCGGCCTTGCGGAGATGAAGGGTCACGCGTCGGGCTGCACGGCCTGCGCTCCGGGAGAGGAGGGCACCATGCACTGGGTCTTCTGGAGTGAGGTATGGCCCCCGCTGCAGCGCTGTCCCAGGGGCCCCCATCCCAGCCTTGGGGACGGGGGCTGTGGGTGTGGTGAGTACAACAGGAGGAGATGATGTGTCGCCACGGAGGCTCTGGATGCCAGCATGTCACCAGGGTGTCCCCAGTGTCACAGGGGAGTGACCGCTGTGGAGACGGGCGAGGGGCCGCGGCCGCTGGGGACAGTGAGGGAGTCCTCCGGCCCCTTAAAGTCTCGGCCTTTGTCTAGAGCGGTGGTGCGGCCTGGTGGCCGCGTCCTGGGCATGTCCGCTGCCAGCGGGGGCCCTTGGTGTCTGCGGGGCTGACGCTCTCTTCTCTCTGTTCCTCAGGTCTCCTGACAGACGCAGCCCCAGAGGGGCCCCGGGAGTGGTCTTGACTCCCTGGAGAGTCCACAACTCAGCCACGGTCCTCTGTCCGCTGTGGACTCAACCCGTTCTCCACCATCTGCCCACCCTCCGTCTCTCTGTAGCCCGTCAAGGACAGCCTGCTTCCTCGGGGGTCGCGAGCCGAGTGTGTGCACCGCGGTGAGGAGTGTGGCCTGGGACACCCAGCGGGGGCCGCGCCAGCTGTCCGTGGGAGCCTGGGCTCACCCACCGTCCCTGGCCGCGGCCCGGGCTGTGCGCGCCGAGGAGGACGAGGGCGCAGCTGCAGAGGACGGCCGCCCAGCCAGCCCGGGAGAGGAAGACCACGCCAGGCCCGGGGGAGGACTGGCCCTCGGGCACAGAAAAGGCCTCTCCGTGTGCCCCAGACTGTCCGAATCACTTTTATTTTCGTATTTCAGTATACTCAATAGACCAAAGAGAAACATCTATTTTAACTCGGACTCGCCCTGGCCATCGGAGTCCCCAGGCTCAGCCGGGGCCCGTTGGGGCAGAGACATGGCGGCGGGGCGCGGAGGGCGGCCCCGGCAGAGGCCTTGCCGCCACGGACACCGCGGGGCGCGCTGAGAGGGGCCGAGCCGGCGGAGGACGCCGCGGCAGCCCCCGGGGCCCGGCCGGCGATGCCCCCACCCACACCCGGCCGCGGGCCAGTGAGGCTCGCCGGGGACACAGGGCACCGCGCTCCCGCTCCCTGTACCTAGCTGGACTGGACCGACTAAAACCACGTTCTGTTTTAACCAGTTAAACACGCCTCTCTGCAGCTCATCTCCGGTAGTGGGGTAATCCAGTATCCGCCAAGAGCATGTTGGGTCTCCCGTGACCGCTGTCCGCTCGACACAACCATTTAGCTCCAGAAAGCAAATTAAAGAAACCTGAAGTAACACTTGTTTGAAAGAGATCATTAAATGTATTTTGCAAAGCCTAAAGTTATATATTTAACAGTTTTTATATGTTGTATATTTGTAGAAAATCCTATTTAACAATTAATGTGGTAGCCCCCCGCCCCGGGCCGGCCGGCCACGCAGCGGGCGGGGCGCCCGTGTCTCCAAAGGGCTCGGGGCGGGGGCAGGGGGCCGGCGCGGAAGGGCAGGACTCCGGGGACAGCGGCCGAGGACGCGCCTGACGTCACGGGAGCCGTGGCGGGTGCCCAGGGGGGAGGTGGCCGTCTGCACCCGCCTGGGGCCCAGCTCGCTGAAGGGCGAGTGCGCCATCTCTCGGTCACGCTGCTTCCGACGGGTTCCATGGCCCTTTCCCTGCCCCTCCCCGACGGGCAGACCCTGAGGCCGCGGCCCCAGACCTCCTCTCCCTGTCCATGTCCCGCTCCCTCTCGGTCTTCATGTCTGGTGGCAGAGGGGCTGCCGCAGGCCGCCCTGCAGGGAATGGCAGGTGCCTGACCTTCCCACGCCCTCCCTGGAGCACGGGGCGCTGGGCCCGGGGACGAGGGGACAGTCCGCGTCTCTGTCCCTGGGCCGGGCCGCGGTCCCACGGGGTCCTTCATTCTCCTGAGTTTGTGCTGAACTATATACTACCTGACGGTCCAATTAACAGGCCCACTATGCTAGTTCTATGCTACTAAAAAAAAAAAAAAAAAAGAAAAAGAAAAGTAAAAAACATAATAATAAGTATATAGAAGCTGTCCCAGCAACCCATAGACTGAAGATAGGAGAGAAGACCCACTTATTTAAGACCCGTTTCAATGTCCATGAGTATTTAATTTCCCTTTCAGGTCGCCACACAAGCAGACGTCTGAGTGTCCTGGAGGGAAGGACAGGGCGGGTGCGGGTTTCCCAGTGCAGATGGGGCGGGAGCCGTGAGGGGGGTGTCTCTGCCGCCTCCCTGAGCCTGTGTCTTCCCACGGTGAGTGTAGACCAGAGGCAGATGCCGGAGGTTTAAGATGTTATAGCGTTTTTTCCCTTGTTTTACAGTATTCAATTTTGTGTTGATTCAGCTAAATTATGAAAATAAAGAAAAAATCCTTTGGTAAGCATGGCTTTTGTTCACGGGCTGGGGTGTCCTGGGTTGGGGCCGTAGCAGGAGCGGCTGGCAGGGACCTCCTTCCCGAGCCTGCCCAGGGGCTCCCAGAAGCCTGGCCCGGGCGAGCGGACCCTCCCCCGCCCCTGTGTGAGCACCCACCCCTCGCACGCAGAGGCCAAGTCCCAGACACAGAAGCAGAACCCAAAGGAGACCCGCGTCGAAAGGACCCGCTTTCCAGGAAAACCTGCTCCCATCTGCAGATGGATCTTTGGCTTCGGACCATTTCTGCCGCCCAGAGTCCTCCAGCTGAACCTGGGTGGGATGGGGAAGCCGCATCTGTCCGTTTCCGGCGGTCCCTTATAAAATATGAGCCCTGGGAGCCATGGCTGGGAGGGTCAGCCAAGGGCCGTCTGAAGTCTGTGCCTGATTTTAAGGAGACGTCCCTGGCCTTTGGTGCCATCGTGGCGGCCACAGAGCGGGCTTGTCCTGGGGGGGAGGAAGGGGGCAGACTGCAGGCCCAACAGCGGCCACAGGCCCCCCTGGGCAGCGGGGACACGCTGTGGGGGGCGACCTTCTGCTCTGCCATCAGAGCATGGGACGGGGCAGGCCAGCTGACCAGGACGTGTGCCCCCACGCCTCCTTCCTCCGTCTATGCTGAGTACAGCCGAGCTGGAGGTGCCCAAGGGGGCCCGTCCACAGGGAGGAAATGTGGTTGGAGCAGGGGCTCCTGGGAGGCTTGGCCACCTGAGCTGTTGGCACCAGGGCGCCCGACATCACTGGGTGCGTTGCAGGGAAATCCGCAAACCATGAGGCTAGAGGAAAGGATAACACGCGCCGTGAGCACCAGGGTCCGTTCAGAGAAGGATGGTCGCCTCCAGCCTGAGCCAGGAGGGTATCAGACAGACCGCCGGAACTCTCAGATCCTGACCTTCACCTAAGCACGGCTCTCCCCTCGCCCCGAGCCAGTGCACCTCGTGGGGACAGTTGTCCTGTGAGTCCGTCTCCATGACGGGGGGAGACCCACCAAGCCTGCAGCCCCGCAGCAAAGGCTTCTGTGAGGAAGTAAGCCTGTGTCGTCTCCTTCCATCCGTCGCTGGCTTGAGCCGTTGGCCTCCGTCTGCTCATATAGCCAGCGGGACGGTCATGATTGCTGCCCACTCCCAGGCTGGAGAAAGTCCTCTCTGCCCGAATGAGGTGTGTGAGGCCCACCTCACTGCTGTGGGCACGGCCGCATGTGGTCTGCCCTGGAGCACTCCCTCTGTGGTGCCCCGTCCCTGTGCCGTGGGCAGGAGGGGCAGAGGGGCACGGAGGCTGCCGCAGGACAGCCTCACACACCGCGGCCCCTTGTCTGCCTCCGACCAGGTGCTGACGTGAGCCTGGGCAGCAGGAGAGTGGGACGGCGCCTCTGCCTACCAACCAGGGTCAGGCAGGACCCCGTGGCCAAGTGTCACCCCGTAGCCCCAGACAGGGGGCCCTCCTGTTCCAGCCCAGCTCCTGGACAGGCCAGGCTGAGAGTGGACATGCTCAGCCTCCGGGGCAGAGAGTGCATCTGTGGCCTGAGTGGTGTGTGCGTGCCGGCGTGTGTCCACGTGTGTGTGTCCACAAGGCCCCTTCTCACCACGACCTTCATGCTGAGAACCTTGTGAGCCAGGGTTCCAAGGACGAGCCCTCCACGACTCCTGACCACAAGGACCGCCAAGGTCAGGGACCTCAAGGTCACACTCAGAGGTGTCCACCCAGAGAGCTGCTGAGATGGGCTCTCCCGTGGTGGCCGTACCCTCAGAAGCTCGGGCTGTCCAGCCGACGTTGCCAGCCCGTCAGGTGCCCCCCCCCACCCTGCGTGGCTGCGTCCTCTCCTGCCGGGAGTCCCGTCCTGCTGGCATTCAGGAGGCGACCACTTGGCCATCCTTGTCCTGAGTGGCCGTCACCCTGAGAAGCTGGGGCCCGTGGAGAGTGTGCTTCTCTCGACAACTCCTCGCAGGATGGGAAGACCCGGAGCGTCTCAGGGTGCCGGGCTCAGCAAGAAGAGGTGGGGTCTCCGCGTGCCTCCCACCCCAGCCCCAGCTCTTCTGCCCTGAAGGTGGTCCCAGGTCCCAGCAGGACCAGTAAGCAGGGCCCTGCGTGGCTGTGTGGGGTCCACGGACGGCCCCAGGGAGAAGTGATGCTGGGGCAGGGGGGATGGGCCATTGCCGCTCAGCAGAGAGGTCACGGCAGGAGAGCAGGGGTGGGGGAGATGGGGTGAGGGGCCATGGGTGAGGAGCCGGCCAAGGTGGGACCGGGGTTGGGACCTCCAGTGGCCGGGGGAGAGCACCCCGCCATCCCCACGCACACGTGTCCTAAAGTCCCCACATCAAGGTCCGGCTGGCGGCCTGCGCCCCTGTGCCCACCCAGCCCTCCCCAGCCCCTCACCATGACTCATGGACGGCCTCCCCACCAAACAGAAAGTCCATGAGGCCACACATCACACGGTGCTATCCCTGACCTCTTGCTGGCACGCAGGGTGAGGAGGGACGTGTGGACATGGGGGACAGGTTGCAGGCAGATCAATGCACCTACGGCCCTGCCTCCCGCAGGCCCTTTGCTGGTGCTGTGTTTGCCGGTGGCAGCGTCTCCACACGGCCTCAGTCTCTAAACAAGGTCCCAGCAGTTTGCGTGTGAGCCTCGTGGTCTGTTTCCAGATGTCCGTGTGTCTGTCTGTCTCTTAGTCCCCATCCCCAGCGGCCTCACACCAGCACCTGACCACTCAGTCTGTGTGTCTAGCACCGGGCACCAGCTGTGCCTCGGAGAAGTCCCATGGACGTCCCTGGTTCTAGGTGTCCCGTTCCTGTGCTGGCAGGTCCACGTCTGTGGGCTTGTGCATCGCGTCCGTCCAGCTGTCGCCTCCTTTAGGGGGAACACCGTATGTTAAATGTCTTTTATTCTTCCTTTGGCGTCCAGAGTCGTGGAATTACTCTCAAATAATAACCACATTTATTTTCTGCTTTTACGAATGTCACCCCATTCTCCCTCCCACCAGCGCCGCAGTCTCCTTCCTGGGGTCGGATCTGCCCTTGGTGTTGTCCTGCGTCCCCCGCGGTCGGGCTCAGGGAGAGAACCTCCCTCCAGGACAGAGGAACAAGCCCAGCCATGCCCCCGGGCCCGGCCCGTCCTCCAGCACGACGGCGCCCACACGCTCTGCAGACGGCGGTGTTTTCTGTGCTCGGAAGATGCTAGGGAAGGTGTGCAGGGTGAGGCCCCTGGGAGGAACGGGGCTGCCAGTGTCCCTGCCAGACGGCGGGCCCACAGCTAGTGACATCAGGATGGGGCAGGGAGCATGGCAGCTAGGGCGTGTGGAAGGCCCAGGTCTCCTGGCTAGGGCCAGGGCCTCCAGGAACCTGACTACTGTCCGCTCAAGGGGACTGCTGTTCACACGAGACACTGACCCACACGGAAGCACCCAGCGACCTGCTCCCTGAGCCCAG